AGCGCCTTTATTAAATTTTCTCAAATGACCCAATTTACATGTGCCATTTGTTTTCTACCAGGTCGCTAACTCATACTCAGGTAACTAAGCATGTCAGCATTTCCATGTCATATCTAAAGTCAATTCTTCAACTGAGCAATGAACTAGTCTTTGGCGGGGGGGAGGGGAGAATAAAGGTGAAAAAATACCTTTAAAGTATTAAGTATAAAAAAAAGCAAGACTCTCATTAAAAAACAAACAAGAAAACACGTAGAGACTAGATCAATAAGAGCCCTTACAGCCTCAAAACGAATTTGTCCCTCCTCTGGAATCCCTTGGTTCTCAAATTCCATCTATTGCTCTTATTAGCAGTGATTGCTTTTCTATATTTACTTCTTGTCAGAAAGACACATTTGCTAATTTATGCAAATCTTGATGAGTGAACGTTATGGTTATTATAAGACAGGACTTCTCAAACGTTCTTGGAAGTACTTTTAACAGGCAGCAATGAATGCATGTACACTCCTTGGAGGTCTGGAGGATAGCAAGACATTTCTTTAAAGTCTTAGGTTTGATAATTCAAAATGTCAATTTTGAAATCTATTTTAGCTGTTAGCTCTAAAATGAAAATGTTTTCAATTACTTACTGTTACTTATTTTCCCTTATAACCTTTAAGTAAATTTGGTGCCCAGGAAGTTGCAGGATGTTTATTCTATTATATGGTTAATTATTTGCCCAAACCTGTTTTGGGAAGCATAGGATTAAAATTTCTTGATACTGTCAGCCCGCTTTTTTTTTCTGACAGCCTATGTACTTTCATAAGAGGCATATGTCAAGGTCGCTAAAGCTAGGTCTTTGGCACCAGACCATCTAAGTTCAAATCTCAGTTTCCCTACTTAACAGTAGTTTTATGGTCCTATGCCAATTACTTTATTTCTCTGTGCTTCAGTTTCACATCTATAAACTGTAGTCACTCTAAGATAGTAACCTCTCTTAAATTGTGTAAAGCACTTAGAACAATATAGAAAATGCTCAATTAAAGTTAACATATTATTTATTATCATTATCATCATTATTAGGAATAATATAATCACTTCCATGGAAGGGAAAGGAATCTCATTTGAAGGGTGACATTATTTATTCTTTGAAACAGCAGAATCTCTTAAACAACCTCTACTGGCCTAATTTGCCAAATTAATCAGTGCTTGTTATTTCCTCTAGCCAGCCTACTTACTAATGTCCACAGCACACCAAATGCTTGCAATTAGTGGGATACTCTAGTACACCCGAACACTTCTGTTCCCACCCCTTGTACCTTTACCAAAAGTCAGTGGTGCTTGTTCCCAAACCAGTTACACTGTTATTACAATTGCAGAATTTAATTAAACAATATGTAAACTGCTAAAATACAGGTACAAAAAAAGATGTGAACATTTCTAGGTAAAGTAATTGAAATACTTTGGAAAAACTAGGAGGGCCACTAAAAATATCCAATTTAATTGTTTGTGAGGTATCTATCAAAGACTGGGGGGAAAGTCTGCAAATATATGAAGACTTCTGCATGCAGACTGTTCCATAAATATTTTTAATGTCTCATTCCATTAAACACCTAGATGGTAAATCATAAATGGTGCAGTATGGATGTGGTTCATACTAGAATTGCCTATCAGTAGATTTATGCTTAATAAAAGGCAGGTCATGTCTCAATGAAAAAAAAAATCAAATGAACATTTCAATGTATATTATTTAAGTTAAAAATAAATTTAAGATATGTCTATAACATTTTTTACAATGCCATTAAAATTTGACTGACATTCTCAAATTTTCTTTGCCAAAGAAGTTTTCCTCTCTTAAGTGATAAGTTAATAAAATGGAAATTTATATATGTTAGAAAGCTTTCAGCATCAGACTTAAATCAAATGTTGAAAATGATTCTTTTTTCTTCCTTTTTTTATAATTGTACTTTAGATGAAGGTTTACAGAATAAACTAGCTTCTCATTAAACAATTAGTATACATACTGTTCTGCGACATTGGTTGCCAACCCCACAATATGTCAACACTCTCCCTTCTCAACCTTGGATTCCCAATCACCAGCTTTCCTGTCTCCTCCTGCCTTCTGTCTTTGCCCCTGGGCTGGTGCGCTGCTTTAGTCTTGTTTTGTTTTATGGGCCTGTCTAATCTTTGGCTGAAAGGTGAACCTCAGGATTGACTTCATTACTGAGCTAAAAGGGCATCCAGGGCCATACTCTCGGGGTTTCTCCAGTCTCTGTCAGGCCAATGAGTCTGGTCTTTTTTCTGTGAGTTAGAATTTTGTTCTACATTCTTCCCCAGCTCTGTCTGGGGCCCTCTATTGTGATCCCTGTCAGAGCAGTCAGTGGTGATAGCTGGGCACCATTTAGTTGTGCTGGACTCAGTCTGGTGGAGGCTGTGGTAGCTGTGTTCCATTAGACCTTTGGACTAATTTTTCCCTTGTATCTTTGGTTTTCTTCATTCTCCCTTGCTCCCAAGGGGTGAGACCAGTGGAGTATCTTAAATGGCCGCTCATAAGCTTTTAAGACCCCAGACACTACTCACCAAAGTAGAATGTAGAACATTTTCTTTATAAACTATGTTATGCCAATTGAGCTAGATGTTTTCCAAGACCATGGTCCCAACATCCCTCAGCCTAGCAATTCAGTCCCTCAGGGAGTTTGGATGAGTCTATGGAGCTTCTATGACCTTGCCTTGGACAAGCTGTGCTGGCTTTCCCAGTATGAAAATGATTCTTAAATGTTATAATTGAGCACCAACTGACTCCTGCATATAGAATGTATGGAGACATTATTTATATTTCCTAGAAACTTCTTGCATCCAGAGAAATCTATCAACTAATCAGGTATGTTTTCATTTGGAAGGGTTTTAGATTGGTAGACTAGGAAAAAAAGGCACTATATTAATTTTGATTTCCTTTAAAGTATAAGAGTTTCTGAGCGGCCATCTAAGATACTCCACTGGTCTCATCTCTTCGGGAGCAAGTGAGAATGAAGAGAACAGGATACAACGAAAAGATTAGTCCAAAGGACTAAT